GGGACAGATGTCGTCATCCACTCGGGGGCGGGGCTTCTGCCAGAGGACTGGAAATACGGATTGCGAGCAGCAGAGCTGTCACTGGGCGAACAGCAGAGAGAGAGAGACGAGCAGGGAAAGTCGCACCTGTTGAGTGACAGTTTCTCAGCTACAGGACAGGTCTTATTTGAAGAAGATCATTTTGTTGTTGCTGCTGCTGCTGCTGCTGGGGCCGCGGAATGACGGATACTATTCTACCCAACGGGTGCAAGGACAACCAGGCTGGTGACGATGCCTGTTTTAAAAAGGTGAGCTAAAACTCTCGGGAAACTCTTTCTAAAAGTTTTTTATTCCTCTTCCCGTCCCGTCCAGTTTCTATCGCGGGCGGCAAGACGGCTATCGGAAAGGAGAGGGAGCGTCGCAGTTTGCTTTCGAAATCTTGACTTTGTTCATTTAATTGCGCTTGATTTGTGGATTGCTGTTAGGACAGTGGATAAATCCAGCCCTTTCCCTTTCCACAGACCACGAAGCAAGTCCGTTTGTACTATTGTTCTAAACTTGGGTCACCTTACACTCCTGTCCTTACGGACAACTTTTCTCCATGACCTAGGAGTCGCAACAGCGATATATATATATACATGAGACCAAATGTTGAGTTCTCAACAAAAATCTTTGTTAAGGGGGTTTATTGTTTTAATCCTGTGTTATGTTATGAGTAAAACTGTTCCAATATTAACAGTGCGTTAAGATGTATTCGTTATAAACATAATAAAACGGCGCAATCCTGTGTCACTCCATGTACTGAAATGTGGAAAAGAAAAGCGTCCTCAGTTCGGTTCGTATTTTATAGCTTTGGTGATGTCACGTCCCTCCAAGGGCAGTTTTGCTAGAAATGCCCACCTGCGCACCCTGGCCGCCGTGCTCCGGGAGTGGGCGCACCTGTGGCGCACGATCCGGTCCCCGCTCGCAGGGCGTGGCTCGCCGCGCTCCTCGGGTCTCGCAAGGTGCGTCGCTCCTTCACGGGCGTGACGCACCCCAAGAAACGGCATATTCGGGATTCCTCGAGTGACTGGCTCGGCCCCTTTTCTCCTTCGCAGTGGGAGTTCACTGAAACTCGGCTGGCGTGCGCCACCTGTCGCGGTCTGTCCTCAGGTTTGGCGATGCGGTCGGTGTACCCACGGTGTTGAAAGGTCACCTCGGCAGTTTAGTCTCATAAAGAGAGGGTGGAAAGGGAACTGAAATCACCAAGCACACTTTCCTTGATGTGGATTGGTGATTCCTGCTGCTGTGAGTCTTCTCAATAATAGTTATTCTAGTTATGAATTCATACAGTTATAATTTCATTATTCACACCTGAAGAAGGCTCCACGGCCGAAACGTGTTTTCTTCTTTTTTTTTCAGCATGGAATAAACCTATTACTAATTTCATGATTATCATCAAAGTGCATTTTTCTTGACGTAAAGCACGAAATGAATGTGCAAATATTTCACTAGAAGAATTCAAGCAAATATGGATATTTTTAATTTTGTTTTGCAAGCATGTGGTGTTGAATGGGTTAAAAAAATACCTGGGATCGGCCTGTTGGCGCATTTTCACAGTCACCTAACAACAGCACGGCTGGCTTGTACTGTAGCCCTGAGCATTTGGAGAAAGAAGGTGGCTGGGCAGGTTTTATGAATTAGGAACTCAAGTGTGGGACAGCCTGTTCTGAGGGAATATCGCAAAACAAACTTCAGAACATCGATCCGACCCCAATGTACGCGTTCAGCTTCAGGCGCGTTCAGAGCGCCTCGGCCCAGTTGAGAAGCGGGTCACAGTCGAGGTTACAGTTTCAGGGCAGAGTGGCACCTGTTCCGCTTGGCGGTTTTTAAGCAACAGTGAGCGCATATTTCTCCCAGCGATGACAAAATCTGGGTTACTAATGAAGTACTTACGGAATGCTGACGGATATCGGGGATTGACAGGGCAGGGCTGTCTGATAACAGAGTCTAATAAAGGGCGCAGGAGTATTTCAGAAAGAACATGCCGGATAGGGAGAACTGACAGAGAATTATGGATTTTAGATACCACAGGTTTTTTTTTTTTGCTTTCCAAATTCCACAGAGAATACACGCAGTACATGAAAGACACGACCGGAATTATTAAACGGCGCTTCGTCGTTACTCAGGACTTATCTTTTTAAGAAGTCCAGATCTAGGAAGAGAGAAGACGGTTTCGTACTTTCTGAGGAGAATCATGTGCTCACATCTATTTTAGGGCGTAGGGTAGCTCTTAATTTTCCGGTCAAGGCTCTGTCAGAAACGTTTGCACAGTATTGAATATTTCTGCAAACTTGGTGGTGTTTTGCTGAATTCCATATGGCTTCACTGCGTGATCTCACGGAAGTTTTTTAAAGAAAGCAGTATTGTACTGTTCCTGGTTTAACACAACAATAACATTCTGTTCCACTATCAAACTAATTCTGCTGTATCTGAGTTGCCCAACGTTATAACAAATTAAAAGATATTATGTATTGAGCCCATTTAAATTAAACTGACAAAATATTAGCTCTAGCTTTAGATTCAATTTTACTTGTGTGTTGTCTTTCGGTGGCCCATACAGAACACACTCTGCCTCCACTGTAAGGGTGCTGCCTTGAGGTAGTACAGAACCTCAGGACACTCCACCATTCTCAAAAGTGCAAAGTGTGAAACTGGAATAACCGGAAACTGCAGGCATATTATTGTGATTTATGAAAACTGTACAGCCTAAAAAAACAAATAGAAAAATGTTAATTCCATGCCGAAATGAAAAGAAAGGAGACACAATGTTTTGGCTGTGAAGCCACTCACCTGAAGAAGGCTCCATCGCGAAAATATTGTGTCTCTTTTCTTTTCATTGTAACAGGGGATAAACTTTTACCTGTTCCTTTGCAGCCTACGCATGCTGATGCAGCTCTCTACTCAGACTTCTTCATAAAAACGAATGCCACTCAATGCTGTCGTAAATATTGCCTTCTCATCAATGTAGCAAGCTCGAAGAAGTTGCTTGGGAATTGACCTTTCGGCATACTACAGACATACTCAATTGCAACAGTGCCTTTTAATTAGCAATACTGCAGAAGAAGGGTTTTACAGGTAATGTTACGGGGACTGAGGAGGATTTGTTAGAGCCAGAGTTCCGCTTGGGTTATTTTTCTGTTCCTGCTGCACAACATGGCTTTGTCCAGGGTGTTGTTATGAGCAGAGAAAGGGTCTTTTGTTCCATACCTGCACACTGTATGTGAACTGTGTCTGGCATTAGGCCTTCTCCACTTCCTGTACCAATAACTGTTCCAGGCCTGGTCGGAGCAGAGCTGACCCAGAAGTGCGCTGATGGCACTGATGTGTGCTTTACAGAGGCCCCATCAGAAGAGACACAAGTGCTGGTGCCGGGTGCACCTCCGGGTGAAAACCCAGCAGACTGAGTTGTACGTAACTGCTGCTTGTTAGGGGCCTTGCGTGTCGTCTTTTTAACTTCTGTATCCATGAAGGATCCAGGGCTTGAGGAAACAATCCATATGTTTCCCGTTTGAACGTGGGAAGCTGAAATCTGCCTGCTTTTTTTTTGTGTGCCTTTTCTCCGAAATGCCACAGCCATGTTGCGCAACTCTGATTTGGAAGCGGACGAATGTGCTCGTTGCGACCCAGACTGGTTTGGTCTGGGATGACGGATTGTGCGGTGCGATGCGGTCGCTCTTCTGAGTCCTCCAGCCCCCTCCACCCCCTGCTGTCTCCGCTGGTGAACAGTTCTCCTCTTGCTTTGCCCTCACACACACACACAGCTCTCCAGACGCTGACGTACAGCAGACTCTGCCCAGTGCCTCCTCAGCATGAAGCCGCAACACAAATTGACAACATCTGCACTGGCTGCCGGGAGGCGGGCTGTGTTCTGCAGTCTGCTGGAGAGCTGCAGCGCAGTCCGTATGACTGCTGTCCTGAGAGAAAGACATGCAAGTACCTCTTCTGGTGAATTGCACAGGAACTGAAAAATTAGTGGAAGGGCAAAAGCCCAGTAGGAGGTTTACCACTGAGTAATTATTATTTTTTATACAGTACAGTAGAGAGTGTGCCGTTCTGGTGTGTTTCTTTCATGTAGTCATCTGGTGTTTATAGTTGCTGTGTGCACAGGATTTGCCAGGTATTTAAAGTTTTACAAGCCAGATTCTCTTTTCCTTTTCCTTTAAAGCAAAGTTTGTATGTCTGTTCTAACTGAAGCCAGCTTTTCACTAGCTGAAGGGGTATAATGCACACCACCAATCCCTTGTTAACAGGTTTGAGGCAGTGTAACATCTTTATTTTTGAATTTTTGTCTGGTTTTAATTGGCCTTCAGACATGACTTTTGCTTATTAGTGTTAATTGCTCCCTACCTCGGACCTGGCTGACTTTGTTCTTGCTCAGAGTGCTTACAAAAAAGTCTCTCGGGCGCAGGATGTGCCAGTAGTCTGTAGTGTACATTACCCTTTGGAGTGTAATGGCCAGTGGATTATTTTCTCTGATTACGGTGGAACATTCATTGCTAAGAATGTAGTAAACTTTTCAAGACAAACTGCTTTCTACTCTTTATGTGTACAGTATGTCATTCAGTCTGGCTGAAAGCTGTGTAAAGCCAAAATGAGATTATGCTAATTTCTTTGTGGCTTTAAGATAAGTACAGTACAACACTAATGTACTCAGACAGAAGTATTACAGTACTAAGACACGCAGGGTCTGGTGTTCATAGTGGTTCACTCATCACTGTTTTTTTAACCCTTTCACAGTTAGTATTGTTTTGTTAATAACCAGTTGAGTCCAAACCTGTTTGTCACCAATAGCCGTCACATTAGACAAACAGAGTTTTGCTGAAAGATGTTAATTGCCTGAGGAGATCCACTAATGCCTTTCATTATCTCAGTTCAAAGTTTGAGCGCAACAATAAACTGTCTTTTCACAATAACAAAGTTAAATTAAGACCAACTACATACAGAGTGGATTGCTACCCGCACAGACTATTAGAAAAGTGATAAACAAGAGGCCATTTTGGCACATTTAGCCCTATGGTAGTTAGCAGTTGATTGATCCAAGGATCTCAGACATTTATCAAAGGAAGTCAGGCTGTATCAGCTTCAAAACAGCATGGTTGAGTAGCTTGTTCCACACTCCCACTACCCTTTGGGTAAAGAAGTCCACCCTGTTCTTGGCTTTAAATGCTTTCATGTTTCGCTGCTGATTATGATTGCCACTGGATTGAATTTGTTGGTGGCTTGGGGGTTTGAGAACTTGAATCTAGTCTCCTCATAGTTTGCTCTGTGCAGGACAGAAAAGGCTGTGTTCCTTCACCTACAGCGGTATTCTATAATAGTATACTTTGCTATAGAAAAGTATTGAATCAGGCATTGATATGAAGCAGTAGCCTACAGTAGTCAACACGGGTAGGACAAAGGGCTCTGTGCCCTTTTCCTTTGGTGTTTGTTTGTTTTCTTCTTTCCTGACACTGATTAACCAGGACAAGATCTGAACTGGCTTGTTCCTCCAACTAACAATTCTTAGCTCCTCTGTTAAACAGTATGTCTGAGTGTTTGTGTGCTCTTGGAATTGTTCTGACTCAACACATGTCAGCTCTGATCTTCACACGCATGCACGCACCCTCCTCAACTGGCTTTCCACTTCTCGTCACATAATTGCAGGTGCCTTCATCTGCGTATTATTAATTCTTATTATTAATAATAATTATTAATTATTAATTCTTTCTGGTGGCAGATATAGTCACACGTATTGCTTCATCTAGTTATGTTGTCTGTAAGGGTATATTAGCAAGCAGCTGCTGTGTATTGATGCCAGTGGAAGTTTGCTGTTGACCATCTCTGCCCTACTTCCAGGTTTTAATTAGTCTTTCAAAATTTCTTGATAAAAGGGAAAAGCAGAAATTCATATATAAGTACATGGCAGAACATATCCACCAAAAAAAAAACTCTTAAATGCGGTTTTTACTGTGCAGGTCTCTTTTTGATCTTCTTAGAAATCTGATCCATGGGAATGGAAGTCTAAATATTTAGTAAAATAAATGTGTGTTTTGTCATTGTTAGTAAAATGTCCCAAATGCTGAATTATACCAGAACATTCTGGAAATTTCTTTTTATCTCCTACTGAGAAGTGAGGGATGACTCATGCACTTCACCTTCTTTATTATCGCACAATTATTTAATGTTTGTTACCGTGTGATTACACAACGTGGGTATCAGAGCAGGCAGGGGCGTGGATGAACTTCATTGTGAAGCTGCCATCTCTGGTCTCATTTCCTTTATCAGATTTTGGGGCCTGCTTAATGTCTTTTCGCACGCTGAGCACACAAATGAGGGGTGAGGGGGTTGCATTCGAAATTCTCCCACAGACAGGCATCTTTATCCAAAGGAGGCTGTACCAAGTTAGTCACTCTCCTAACGTGGCCACAATTTTCCATAAACTTACTACAGTGCTTCCCAGTTCTGTGTTTTTAAAAAGCCCTGTTTTCACCACTTTGTACACCACAATTATTTTATTTTGTGAGAGAGACTGAAGATACTCAGAAGTTTCTAGCTACTACGACTGTAAGTTGTTTTAACACTAACTGTAAAATCCACAGCTATAATACCTTTTATACATAAAGACCATTGAATATACACTTTATGGCTTCTGTTGGTTTGGTTCTGTTTTTATAATTTGCTACATGTTTTAGGGGAAAAATAAATAATCCCCTAATACAGTGTATAACTCACACATTAGGTACTGTATGCCACAAAGGTTTTCAGAGCAAAAAGGGTTAAAAGTAAACTAAGATGACTGGATAAGGAAGTGACATTATCTCCATTTTTAAAGGACACAGAGACGCCTCTGACAGGTATGAGCGCACACAACAGGGATGTGTCGAGAAAGAGGGGGAAGAGAAACAGTTCACACAGGATCCCTCTGTCTCAGCAGGCGTTACAGTGATGGACGTGATCTTTTATGAGCCTTGCAGGATACTGCAACAGGCGGGTCTGTCACCTGTCTCTTGTTTTCATTGCTGGCCTCTTGTCCCCATGGCCAGCACACAGGCCATCACAGATGTGCACCTGGGACTCAGAATCCACATTTCAAAACCCATTTGCTTAAACGGGCTTTATTATTGTGTATATTAAAATAAATTAAACTTATTATTACACTTCAATTGTATTAACAGAATATAAGACATTAGAACACAATACATGACATCTATGAATTATAGATTTGTAGTATTAAAGGTATTAATACTGTAACGCAACGGGGGCTCAGGCAGGCGCCCTGGATTAGGTCGGCCCCCCACCGTCGGAGGCTCGAACCCGGGACTCCCGCGTCTCTCTGCAGTGACCCAGCCCCGTGAGCTAAAGAGAGATCTCTCTACAGCCCAGTAGCTGTAGTCCTGCTATCACAGGGAAGGGCGGCGACGTCACCTGCTCTGGTACGCCGGCTCTTACACAGTGCCTGTCGGCCGTAAGCGTTACACTACTATTAATAGGTATTCTTATTAATACCCTATTAATAAGTATGAAGGTAATTGCATTACATTTATTATATAACCTGAAATTCCAATGAAAAGGCTTGGTTTGTGTGTCAAGGAAGTTACTGGTTTAGGCCTGCCCATGTGAGATTCACCGCAGCAATACTGCAATCAGTTCACCTGAGCCCATAAGGCAAGTTACAAACCACTCGAGTCGTAGGGCATGTGGCTCAGCTTGCCCATTTTGAAACGTATGCATCCCGGAGTCTCATCTAGTGCATTGATTATTGATATAGGCTTTAATCACATGCTTATGTAGCTTGTTCCATACTCCCACAATCCTTTGTGTAAAGAAAAGCGTCCTTTTCTGTGGTTTAAATGCACTTCCACGTAGCTTTCACCCGTGTCCCCTGGTTCCGGTTTCAGTGTTCAGTGAAGAAGCCTGCTGTGTTGACTTTGAGGATTTTAAAAACTCATCGTTTGCGTTCTGTCTTCACAGGGCTGTAACCCCTTTGCCCAGACTGGGCGCAGTAAGCTGCAGAACAAGAGAGCCGTCTTGAACCAGCAGATCATCAAGGAGATGAGAATGAGGGCCGGAGCAGAAAACCTCCTGCGGTATGACCGTCTCTCAGCGTGTGCCCAGGGCTAACCTGGAAGGAACAAAAATGTTGGGTTTTTTCCAAGCATGTACAACACGGTTGGCATGTGCAGAAGAGTACCCCATGGGCACCCGAGGTGCCTTGTTTCCTGGGCGGGGGTGTTGGCTGGAAAGGCTTCTCGGGCCCCTAATCGTGCTGAAAAGTGCAGAGTAGAATGTGTACTGTGGACTGTGTTTTCATACTTGGGCTCTTTGGTGCAAGAACTGCAACATCTCGTTTCTGTAGAAGATGCCATATTGAAGGGCAGGGATCTCTCACAGCTTTAAGCCCCTGGGTTTGTCTCTGCGGTGCCTCCTGTGTGTCCTGTCGGTGCTGATGTGGGTTATTGCCGAGTGCTCTGGCTCTCGTCTGAGCGCCAGCCCCTGTGTCCCCGTGGGTGCTTGCCCTGTCCTGTCCAGGGCGCGTCTCACTCTACTCTATGGTGGTGTTGCGGCATTCTGTCAGGAGGGAGTTCAAACTGTAACTGCAATGCCTGTTTTCACAAGAAAGGGTACTTTCTGAAGGAAGGGAAGAATCCACCTTTGTTTTCACACAATGCCTCCTGTAAATAGCACTGTGTCGAGGTTTAGTCCTCCAGCTCCAGTCTGTTTCTCGAGCTGGACCAGAAAAATGCGTTTTTTGTTCATGTTCAAAACAGCACTCTGGTCTCCCTGGAAAGTTTTAAACACTCATGGGAAGTCTTTTTTTCCCCTCGAGCTCCTCGATTGTGGGAGATGAGATGAATGTGTTCCGGGTTTCAGACATGCGTCCCACATCCCAGGCTGCTCCTTCGCCCCTCAGGGACTGTTCATCCGGAGGGGTGGTGATATTCGTGGGGGAGATGTTGCAAATGTATTCCTGAAGCACAAAGACTGCAGAGCATAGAAACCACGAATATCGATTCAGCCTCATTGTTCCTTGGCTGTGATCAGAAACATGTTTCTGCAGAAGATGATTTATTTAGAAGGACCAAAGTGAATGATTCTACTGTGTCTGATTCAAACGTCTGATTTTGGAAATCGTAACAATTGTGCAAAAACAATGCAAAGTTCACGTCAAAGTGAATAATTAAAGGACAGAGTAGGTATAATCAATTCATTTTGTATTCATTATATTTCTATTTGAAGAGGATCTCTTCAGAAGTATAATTTTACAGCAGATTCTTTGTAGTCTTTAAATGGCATAAATGCTTCCATTGTTAGTTGGTGCAGTATACCCCTTGGAGACATAGGTTTTCAAAACTTATATTAATTCACAGAGCAGGGTTAAAAGAAGCCAGCTCTCTTCATCCATATTTTCTGAGAAGCCCATGTCTCTAGGGAACACTACAAAAAGAACACATAAGTTAAGTTTGTTTAGGCCTCCAGTGCTAATCTTGGAAGTAACACCCATCATATTGACATTTTTTGGTTTCATTACGTTGAGTAAAATAAGTCATACTTATGGTGCTGGTTTCTGAATGTTTGCTGAAGTATGTATTGCACACACCTATTTATTTTAGGTCAGTATATGACAAATGTGTGTATGTCACCAATAGTTACAAAACTGCGCAAGTGGGTAAAGAGCCTTGTTTAAGTTTGTTTAAGGGCTTCAGCTGGGCTTGGAACCCACAACCTTCCATCACGCACTTGATGAGCTCCGGGCTTCTAGTTGTCTGCTGCTGCTTCTCCAAAGTCTCAGTGGTCTCCGTTAACCTAATATACACAAAGCCATGTGACTTACTAGCAAATTAGCTGCAGAAACTAAGCTGATTGGGCCATTGCTGTAGCACATTATTATTATTATTATGATTATTATTTTCTGCAAATCCACCTGGATGATGCGACTGTAGCCAGAGTGCACCAGTGCGCTCCCCGCACACCAGCTCTCACTGGGGAGGAGAGCAGAGTGATGAAGCCAGTTCAAAGATGGGGGTTATTAGGAGGCCATGATTAGTAAAGGCCAGGGGGGATTTTGGCCAGGACGAGAAACATCCTGGAATTTTTAATGACCACAGAGAGTCCGAACCTTGATTTTCGTCTCGTCCAAAGTATGGCACCTTTTTACAGTATAGTGTCCCGTCACTATACTGGGGTATTAGGACCCACACAGACCCCAGGGTGAGCGCCCCCTACTGGCCCCACTAACACCTCTTCCAGCAGCAGCCTTCGTTTTTCCCAGGAGTCTCCCATCCAGGTAGTATATTGTATAGCTACGTACAAGAGTTTTTTAATAAACATTCACACACAGAGACAACTTTCAGACAGTGGTTCTTTACATTTCTCATGGCCACATATAAATGTGTTAATTGTTCCAGTTCCCAGGGGAGGCAGCCTCTTGTCAACGAATTTATGTCATGTTTTTTTTTTTCTCGTCAGTGACCTGTTTCAGAGAAAATAGCAACTGCTTGCAATTGTGTGTGAAATTTGACCCCAAATCACATTTCTCAGGCAGGAAGAGGGCTTGTGTCATTCTTGAGGTGCTGCCTTCAAGATGGAGAAGTTACTTCAATAATTAAATTAAGAGGGAAATTTAAATAGGACAGATTGTGCAAGCCCAGAGTGGACATCCACTACACCCCCTAGAAATTTACAACATCTTGCCTTTATCTGAAGGACAGTACCTCCAACAGCACACTGTGCCCTGTTTCATACTGGGATCCAGAGGAAAAAGCGCCACCTACTGGTCTCCCATTATCTCTTACGGCAGCGGTGTGGTTTCCTTGGAGGTGTCCCATCGCAGTACTGATCTGGTCTTCTCAGATCTGGTCTTAATGCTGGTGGTATTGCCCATGATGATCAGATAATGCATTTGTTGTCTCACTGTTCTATGGAAAGAAATAGTTACAGTGATCCCACTGAACCTGTTATTCAAGTTGAGCGATCTGCCCTGGAAAATTCGTCCGGCTCTGAAAAACAAATGAGAATGTCTGTTTGTGTACGCTGGCTGCACCTTCCTTGAAATGCACTTTCAAAACCAGGAGAGCAAAGCTTTATTGTCAGTCTTCCATAAAACATTTTATAGTGTTTAAATACTTTCTCTTATTTAGGTGCTGGAATTTTAAATGTGTAGAATATGTATGTACAATGACAACATTTAAAACAGCACACAGTTAAGCATGCAGAAAAAGAACCTGCAAAAATTATGTTGCAGTACAAAGGGTTTCTTTTTTTATTCTTATGAACTTTTAGCATCAGATTTGATGATAAATACTCTCCCTTCCCCCCCTCCCCCCAAAAAAAACACAGTTTCATCTCCTAGCAGCATTACTGTACCGGCATAAAGTTTTGAACATATATTTGGCATGCAAGTTTTATCGCACCCTTGGTATGAGCACACAAACCTGCCTGAAGAACAGAGCAGGAGTGGTGATGTTTTATCTGCGTTTGATTAACATATCGCTGACTTTGGAACACTTAGCTTTCAGGCTTCAAAGCCCTTTGCATTCCTTACCATATTTCTCAGCTCTGACAGGCGGTTTAGAAAGCATTCCTCACCATTGCCTACGTTTAATATCAGCAAACAGGTTATAAACTAAGGACTGCTGACAATTACAGTGTTAAAATTATGTTTTATTTGCATCTGGGTAATGTAAAGGTGTATCAAAATTGCCAAACATCAGAACTTCGGTACATTATGAAGCCCAAAGTCGCTTATCTGTTATTCAGGGAGCTGTGCAGACGCTTTGAATTCAGAATGTCTCTTTGCACTGCTGTGCTTAGATTCCTGGTCCTGTTTTATGATTGCACTTCTTCAATTTTGTTCTGATTAGTTCGAAGTGGATGAAAAACAAAGGTGGCCTTGATACTCAGTAGCAGGGAGATATGGGACTTCTGTCCTACGCCTTAAGAGTCAGATGCTGTGTTTCAGCAGGTGTGCTGGACTTTTCCACTACTTTTTTAGGACCCCTGGTGAACACAAAGGAAACTGCTGTACTGTACTGGTTTTTCAGCTGGCAAACAAAACCTGACTGAGGAGTCACTCCCTGTAACAAACGACAGGCCTGTGATGTCCCTGAAGCGAAATGTGGTCTATTTGTAATTACAATCATAAGGAAGGTAGGCTGATCTGTTTAGGGCTGTCTCCATTCTCTTATGCTCTGGGATTGTAACCCTTGATGTTCTGTTACTCTGCCATACTCCATATTCTAGTCAGTCAAGGATACAGCACAGGGTCATGGTGGACAAGTTCTGTTGGTGGAAGTTTGCATGTGGAGCTCCGGCCAAAATGCACTATTGCTGGAAAATGGCTGTGGCCCTGTTCCTCTTAAGTCCAGGCTTCTTTCTAAGCCTTGGTCCTACTGCATTGTTTAAGTAGCGCAATAATTCTCAGTGTCTGAGGGGAAATGATCAATCAGGTAGGTTTTCTTGAGGAACAAGGAGAAACACTGAGAGCTATTCGGAATGTTGTTCTGTTCAACAGCAACAACATATTCATCATTGTAATATGGCTGTATGTTTAGAAAACAATCCACATTCACTGATCGGGAAGAATCAATAAAGATAAGTAAAGATTCAATTTGTATTTGTGGTTGAAAGTTGGCTCTCAGAGAAGTTTCAGGACCTGCTGCCTCCTGATTGGGTTGGGTAGCGGCAGGAATGTTCCCTGCTCTTCCAGTGCTCTGTTGTGCTCCGGTCTCCTGAGAGAGCTGGATCTGCCAAGCACATCGTCCAGCAGATGTTTAGCAAAAACCTCAAGCAAACCGCATGAGAGCGAGAGTTCATGAAAATGTTGACCTTGAGATTATGAGACATACCATTTGAAGACTGGCATTTATTTCAAGGATCTAGCTGGCTGGGACTTAGCTTAATTTTGAAATCCCGGGCCGGCGGGCAGTTGTTTATTTGACTTGACAAGGTAGTTACCTAGGGAGATGTATAGTTAAAGCAGTGGAAGATGTTTACTTTTGATTTATTGGTTTCTGTGCCTTGTTCTTTCAGGGTGTTGTCATGAAACTGCATTTTAATGGAAAAAAAATCCACTAAAGACTCCAAAGCCTATCAAAGCCTGCACCTAGTTATGCTTTTTCCCCTCCCCTGTAATGCAAACACATCAGGAATTCTATGAAAGCAGACTGGAGAAGGGGACGAGAGTGCTATCTGCTTCAGTTATGGGTTAAGATAGGGAAGCAAATGTTTCAGTCATTTCAGATGAAAATTTGCAAAAATGTGCAGTGCAGTGATTCATGTCAGTGCTGACCACGTTTAGCTGATTTGCAGAGGATGGCAACAATGAGGTTTGTGAATTCAGTTGTTTGGTCAACCCCAAATTAAGGTGAAGAGGAGGCGTGATTCTGGTGGTGAGTTAGTGGGCTAACATGGTTACATCCAGGTGGGGCTGCACACTGGTGGTGGAGGAGGGGTTCCCCATTACCTGTTAA